GGGGCTTGTTGCTTTCGTCCTGGGGCGGAGGGGGCGGAGGGGGCGGGGGCGGGATGTGGTCGGCGTGTGCGTTGACGAAGGCGCGCAGACAGGCGGCCCACTGGTTGCTGGCGTAGCTGCGGTCGGTCATGGCCTTGGTCTCCTCGGGCTCATTGGGGTGTGGGGGTGCGAGGGCCTCCTGCTGCACGAGGCGCATCAGCTCGTTCTTGCACTTGTTGACCTGCTTGGTCCGTACGAAGTGGCCCAGGTACTCGTGCAGGGTCAGCTGCGCCACCTCGTTGGCCTCCAGGTCCTCCAGCTTCCTCTCGTCCATGAACTCCTCGGCAGCCCGCAGCGCCTCGGTCTCCTCCTCATCCAGCTCCAGCTTGTCGAGGGCCTTCATGTCGGCCCCTCTCAGGGGCAGCCACCTCCACTTCTCATTCCCCACCACCACCACCGGCAGGCTGGGCCCCGGCCTGTCGACGACAGGCAGGCCGAACTCCTTGAAGGTGCCGCGGACGACGGCCTTGAGCCAGGGGCGGTAGCGCACCTTCTGGTCGTCCACAGTGGCCTGTGGAGCCTGCCGGTGTCTCCTGCTCGACACGATGGCGTACTTCTCGTACGTGTTGATCGGGTGGACCTCGGCGATTTGGTAGTCGATGGGGCTTTGCTCAGCCGGGCCGGTTGGGGGCTCACTGACGTGCTCAGGCATATCCGAGGGGTCCGGAAGGAGCGGCTCACCCACAGGCAACTGTGCCGGCTCACCACCACCAGCAGCAGCAGCAGCAGCGGCAGCCGCAGCGGCAGAAGTGGAACCGTTGTGGGGCGGAGGGGGGGCGGGTGCCGATGCCTCACGGCGAACAGGGCCGGACGGTGAGCATGCTGGCGACGTGAGTGACTCAGAGAATGGGGCAGAGGGAATGCGGGGCGGGTGGGGCTGTTGGGAGGGCTGTGGCAGACCATCAGCCGACGGCACCACGTCGACTTCCGCACACTGGCCGATGAAGCGGGATGGCGAGTCATCGGCCTCGGGGGGCTCAGGGGGCCTCCCCCCTCCCCTCCCACCACGACCGCCCTTACCCTTCCTCCCCCTCGGCGAGCCCTTCTTGCCGCGTGTCGGCGACCTGCCCCTCCCCTGCGATTGCTGCTCCGCCCACTCTGCCACCTCGGGCGGCGCGTCTACCTTGACCACCTTTCGCTGGGCTTGCTCATACCACAGGGAGTCGAGCACCTCGTTGATCTCCTTCTCCTTGGCCGGGTCGGGCGGCGCCTGCTCCACGGCGTTCAAGACGACATACGCTGCCGTGCCGGTGGGCTGATGGGTGGCCACCATGGCCACCTGTGGTTGGGGGGCACGCTTCTTGCGTGGCAGGCGGGGCGGGGAGCCGCCGCGGCGAAGGCGGTTGAGCGACAGGCCTGGGGGTGAGCGGGGAGGGGAACTCGGGAGCCGCTGCCATATGTGGTGGTATCGCTGAGAGAGAGAGATATATAGAGAGAGAGAGACCAGACAAACCCACAGAGAGGGAAGATACTCGCATATTAATGCCTCTGTCTGTCTGTGCTTGTGTTGGTTGGTGTGTCACCCACCCC